CTAGTTCCTAAACTAGGCAAGATCTTTTCCAATATTGGGACAAGAGTTACAAGGCAAATCCATTAAATGCACTAATTTTTTTTAATACTAGATGTAAAGAAAAATTCTGAAAAATAAAAGTCAAGAAGATCAGTCAAAGATACAAAAGCAGCTGGAATATTTCTATGAACTTGGTTGGTAAAAAAGTTGTATATCTAATCGTAACTTTAAAATCTATTTGAATTCGTTTCACATATACAAAAACAATTTTAATACTACTCTTTTTTTTTTTGGGTCAAAAAGGTGAAATGTCATTAAATCGGGATTAAACCGGGGGAGTTTGATACATGTTTGAGAACCGGAATTAAAACAATTTTAATACTAAGACTATATTTTTACGAAACTACCAGAATAATTCAGACACTGTAGTAAATCGAATAGTAGTGAAGATTCCGAGCATGTTCTAGGTCGTCAACTACATTTTTTTTTTTTTGCAAGATTCCACAAACAAGTCAACGGTCAAAGAAAACCAAAGAGTACGTGGCCAAAATCTTCTAGCCACAACAAATGACACGTGTCATTCTTAGTTCCAAGTTCACACTGTTATGGACCAAGTCGTTGGCTCTTACTTCAATGTTAACGACCCATTCAAATACGAGACCGGTTTAATTCATTGTTATCAACTAAGTCTTCTATAAACCATCTAATTGCAAACAAATCAGCAATTAGTGAAATAAGATGCCAAAACAGTTATTTAATCATCTATTCGAATTGTTACTGCATCGTTCAAAAACCCAAATGCAACTAGAGGCTTTATGGTTCTTTCACTTAAAGGGTTTATACAAAAAGAGTTATTCGAAAAAATGCTCCTTTGCTTCGAAAGTTCCACAAATGATGTTTCTTTTTTTCTTCTTATGAGACAGAAACTTCAGAGAAACATTACCTTTCCAAGGACTTATTTTATGCTGGAACAGCAGCTTGTGGTTCTTTCACCGGCTTTGTGGCGACAATCTTACACACAGGCATGGTTTCATTCTTGCTCAATAGCTTCAATGATGGATGAAATACAACGTCTTGCATTAACACTTTGTCCTCGATGTCGAGGTTGCTCACATCTACTTCGATTTTAGATGGAATGTGTTCTGCTGGGCCTCGAAGTTTCAGAGTACTTCGGATTGACCGTAGATTTCCCCCTGGTTACATTAACAGAAACTTAGACTGAAAGATCATGATAGCAAAACAGAAGAGTAATATCAGGCAATGGTACACATTTGAAATTTCCCTTGCTAAAAGGATTTACATAAGAACATTCCTGAAAGTAGTCTATTCCCAGTGTGGACTAACTGAAATCAATGCTCTACAGGTGAGAAAACTGTAAACATATCGAATCTCATGTTTATTAATTCCTTTGCCATTGGAACACAAACATTACAATCCGGTGAAAATGAAAGATCTCTCTTTACATGACTTAGCTCAATCATAAGAATGGATGGATAACAGTAAAATAGAATGAACAAGAGCATAATCGAGCAAAAAGAGACAAAACCAATCTGCAAAGTTCTCATCAGTCGAAAAAATAAAAAGAAACCAAATTATATAGCTCAAGAAAATCTTCACACTGTCTTCTCAATGAAAACCAATACACGAAACTCCTACCATTCTCAAGAAACTTCAAAGCACAAAAAGTGAAATTAACCGAAAAATAACGCGAAAAATGGAACCAAATAATAAGGAAAAGAGTTACCTTTTTTTAGACCAGGAGAATTCTCCAATCCTTTAAAAACAAGAGGAACATCAACCTTCAACTGTTCTCCATCATCAGCCCATACGAAGACTAAATTAAGTATCTTCCCAGTTTCTTCGTCTCTATGAATCTGACCATTAAGTAACACAAATCACAACATCCGTATCAGATTCCACCACTAATCTACTGACACTAACTTCACCAAATACACACAACCAAGTCTTCACATTTATCTAAATTCATGAAATGATCGAGATTGAAATCAAAATCGGCGAAAATTCGGAATACCTTGAGGGGAAGTACTCGACCCGATTCAACTAACGTCGACGAACCCTGACCAGCTCGGATCTGGAGCTGAAAAGTGGTCGAACAGATGAACGGAAGGCCAACAGAGTCAAGAATAGACTTAATCTGTTTCCTATCCGCCGTCAAAAGCTGCTTCCTCGAAACGCCTCGCTTCGAAGCATCGGTATCGAGAAGCGACTGAGGGAAAACCACGGCGGGAATACGGCCAATCGTCCGATCTCGAGCCGATACTCCTCGACCAGTGGCTTCGCGTGGTATCGCCTGGATCGTATCGTACTGATGTAAACACCGAATCGATCGACCGAATGAAAAAGCCGGTAGATTAGCCGCCTCCGCCGTAGATCTCAGGCGGCGCCACCATTTCGCCATCTGTGCTGGTCAGTGTTGGAGTGACGTTAGGGTTTTTTTCCCATCAAACCCAGGCGATGGAGATTGGAGGGGGTTTAACCTTTTTTGGGGCTTTAACTAATTTACTATTTGGGCTTTTTATTAGCCCGTTGGGTAATATAACTTCAATTATTGTGTTATTTTATCCTGGCTTCGGCCTAATGTGGAATTTTTGGATTTCAGGTTTTGAAAAATAGATTCCAAATAGAATCAATTTTTA